GATACATTTCTCAGTTTTCTTATAAATATGGGAGTTTGCAAATATGTGTGCTTTGCTGGAAGGAATAAAAGCAAAATAAAATGAACCAACATCAGGAATGTCAATAAAGAAATCAATACAGTGCTGTAGAATATCAATATGGTATCATGAAGTGAAATATCGCTATGCTTTGCATATATGTATATGTATGTTTTTTTTCCTAATATATTTTTTTCTATTACTGTCCTTGTGAGATACAACATTATAATTACCAGTAATTATAACTGCAGGGAAGGTTAACTGTCAATTATACAACGTATAAATAAAAACGTGTGAAACTACAGGCTTCAGTTCTGAGCATGTTTATATTTATATGAATCAAGATGAGTTCTAATGTATAGACTTTAACATCCCAGGGACACCAAACTGATGTTTTCCTTCTCTCTTACCATAGATGGAGTGACACTGGGAGAAGAACAGCGGGTCTTCAGTCAATAACACCAAACAGCTGTAGGCAGACCACAGCATCATCTCACTATTAGCACTGGCCAGACGATCAAACAAAAACTCTATAAAGAAAAACATTTGAGAATAGGAAAAAATAAATAAAAAATATTCCTTTTTTTTAATAACCTGTCCCAATTAAAGGACATAAATTCTGACATCTAAAAGCAGAGATAAAGAAGAACAGATCTGAGGCAGAAGAAACAGCATGATTTCTGAACAAAGAGAGGAAGTCAAATATAAATACAAATGAAAGCAGGAGGTGATATTTGTGGAAAGGAAAGTAAATAAGGCGTAATTAGGTATCAAAGCACAGCAACTGTGTTTGTGTGGGAAAATAACCTGGTACGTCAGCCTTAATGAAGGGAGCGCAGTACTGACTGGGAGAATGAACCAAGACAGAAGCAATACACTTAGCACTGGCGACCTGCAACGTCTCATCAGCACTCAGCAGTAGCTGGAAGACACATGAGACAAACTTTAGCAGCACTGCATCCAAACTTTGTTCCAGAAATCTGCAGGGTCTGTGGAACTGGTTTCTGCCTCTCAGCTGTCGGTGACGATGAGATAAAAAATGTGCAACAGGTTGTTGATGAGAACATTTTCAACATTCGACATTCTCGTTATCACTAACTACCTAGTCAGCTTATTAACAAAATGATTAGAACCAACTGTGAGGTAGAAGAAACTGCACTTCATGAGTGAGTAAGATATAAGGCAAAAAATCCATCATTATATAATAAAAACAAACCAACGATCCCACCTACGGCATGAATGTGTGGTTCATTTACAAGTAAACATGGAAAAGTATTAATTCTCATCTAAAATTAGCCGACGCTTCTGCTGCCTCCTTAAGCCAACTTCAGTCCAAGCACTGACGCATTGACGTCACACTGAATCAGATCCCACAGAACTGAGCAGAACTGAAGAATCTTCTAACTAAACAAGAGCAGAGATTTGAGTCACGGCCGAGACCGTTTATCTGGATGACATCAACACTTCCATTTCCCAGGCTTCAAACACAAACATTTGTTCTACATATAACCATCTTACATTAAATCCCTCATCAAAAACACCTCTTGTTATGGTTAAGGACGGAGCAGAAATAAATGTTGGTGGATCTAAGCTGTTTACACACAGACCTGTTTCAGTATGAGAGGCAGCTGGCACTGCTCTGTACACTGTCTCTCCGAGTTCTGGGAAAGGGTTTGGCTGCTGTTGTTGTAGAGGTTCGTGTTCTGATCCCACATGGTTGGAGTGTAGGGGCTGTTCATCAGAACGGAAACAGTCTCTCCGTGCTGCACCAGCAGCCACAGCAGGCCTGACGAATCAAATTCAACACAATTGAAGCAAAGTCAGTCTCTTACATTTTCCATTTTTAGAAAATTAGGTATATAAGTGTCAGGAACATTTTCATTCTCTAAGGGCAGACACCGCAGCTAAATGTGTGTGACCCCGGTGGTACTGCTTTAGAAACCTTAACAAAGTCAAAAGGTCAGCTATACACCAATTTTGTGCAAAAAAAGCCAATAAATGATTTTTTTTCAGAGGTCATCTCTGTGTTCTTTGCTTCGTAGAAGTGTTATTATATAGCAGGGATTCTGCTGTGTCTTCAGCCTGAAGTTAAAGAGAAATGACCTTATTTAATTCATTTGTGCTGCTGTTCTCACCAGTGCTGAGAAGGCTTATAAGGTTAATTAAATCCAAAGTTACACAAAAGAAGAAAAAAAAAAAAAAAAAACAACCGCAAATTCTTACATGAAGTTATTGTAAAAATTCAATCACTGAGATAAGCAAATCTCTGACACTGTTCCAAACTTATTATGAAGAAATCCATCTTCAAATGTGAATAGAGTGATGTAAGAATTTTAATTTACTGTCACTTGTGATTAAGAATCCCTGTCCCTTTTTCAGTTTGTCTTCCAAACAGATGCTGGTAAAATTAATAATTCATAATTTCTTAGAAATATAAACAAAACTGACGTCTTTTTCTCACCGACAGAGTTTTTGATGAGCTTTGCTGAGCCAGCGTTGGCTAAGGTTTGTCTCAACAGGACGCACACTCTGTCCCTAATTGCCACAGGCAACGACTTGGCGGACGATCCTCCAACTGCCCTGAACACCTGCAGCCACACGTACAGAGCTGAAGCCTTCAGGGCTTCATCTGGGTAGAGTAAGGCCGAACACAAGTGTTCCAGCAGCAGCACTGGGCGAAATGGGAAAAAATAAATTATCAGGTGAATATATCAGAAAGAAACAAGACTTTGTGGAAGCTGGATGAGAACATATGGTTCTATTTTTATGTAAATCATCATCATCCATCAACGATTTCTTGACGAAATCTAAATGAACGTTAGATGCTGTGGTCGAGACACAGCTGTCTAACGGCCGGGTTTGTGCTGCCTTTACCTTTAAAGAGAGCCACTGCTCTCTCCGCTCACTTCTCTGCAGTGGATTGAATTGAGGACACCTTAATGTAACCATGACGCTCCAAAAACTACCCTGGAGACTTGACGGTGGTTAGTAGTTAGGTTTTTGACTTTGACATTACTTTTACTGACAGCCACTAAGGCCGTCTTGCCTGTGTTGTTACAGATGACAACTCACTTGTAGTGCCTCTAGTGTTTACATAATATATCACATTATGTGTTTATTTAGAGGTATATTAAATGAGCAATTGTGTTAAGGTTTTTGGCTTATTTTTTTGGGAGAGGTATATTAAATGAGCAATTGTGTTTAGGCTTTTTTTAGTGAGGTAAATTTGTGGACAGTGTGGCTGGAATTATTATATTATTATTTTTTTAGGATAATCCACCTTGGTCTTACAAGGTCCTGCTAGAAAACAAAGGCAGCTGCGATGCATGAACAAACATCATAATATCATCTACAAACTGGCGAGAACAGGGCCACAACATCTAAATATTTCATTATTCAAATGCGTTGCTTGTTCATTTCACTGAAGGTTGTGTAAAGGCATGAGAACAACAAACTCATCAGACTTTCCGTGACAGGCGCAGGTGAGGTGAAAAGAAGAGGACAGAGATGCAGAAGCATAGATAAAGGAGATAACACCAGCAGAAGACAAGATGATAGACAGGTAGCTAGAACCTTATTAATCCCTTGCTTCAGGAAATTAAGGAAATGAATGAGAGCTAAACAACTGAGAACAAAGCTGGGCTGAGTTATTTTTTGTTTGTTTGTTTTTTTAATACACTCTATAGCTTTTCGTGACAACTGCTGAGCCATCAGTGGGAGGAAAGTTTGAAGATTAAGAGATTGAAGACTGGCTATTAGCGTGAAAGAAAGAGCAGCTTAATGGCAGGTCGGGAAGGAGATGAATAGAGAATAAACATTCAAAAATATACCGGGAAAATAAAGGCATTGATTGTCTGAGCACCGCCGACAGAAACTATAAACTGTCAGGCAAGTAAAAGTAAGGATGAAAGTGGGGAGAGACTAAGACACAGGTAGGTGGAGAGATTTAAACAACAGCCAGTGGGTAGAAAAGTGAGAACAGATTTGCACCAGTTCATGCAACTGGAAGCGAGTGAATGAACCTTTCTCTTGCACTCATTATGCAAGTTATGTTTACTACAGTCTTTTCCTCCATCAGGGGTCAACACAGCCCACATGCTGATCTGAGCTAACTGACATTTCTAACTCCCTATAGGAGTTAGTTGGGCATCTGTAGCTGCTGCATGGAATTAGAAAATCCCACCACTGTGTCTCACAGTTCCAGCCCCGAAAAAGCTTCAATCAGAGTTTGATGAACTTTACTAAAAGGTTTTTTAAGATTACCTTTTTCTGGTTGACTGTATTTTCCCACATGAATACTTAAATGTCGGACTAAGACTAAAAAGTCTGACGGATGAGAGAGGAGAGGAGCTGAGAACAAGTGCCGAGGTTCTGTGAAGCTGGTTAAAGCCCATGTGAGAGAGAAAAGGCTGCCTGACATGTTTGATTAAACCACAATTTATGAGGTGGTCAGGATGAGAGTCAGGCATGAGAAAAAGAGCCCAAGCAGGGGGAGGGGAAGTGGAAGGGGAAGGGGGAGGCTGTGGGGGTGATCTTCATAGACAGAGGATGGAGACGGAAGCAGCTTATTAAAGTAGTGAAAGGCTGCGTGGAGAATATAAGCTTGACTATATCCTGCTGCTGCAGCATCACAACATTTTATGACATTCTCGTAAAAACACAGACACAGAGAACCACGGTGAGGCAATGAGACGTTCCTGTTTATGTTTTTGCTGTGTTCACATTTTTAGACCATTTAGAAGCAGTTTAACACACTCCCTGTAGAACGACAATGACACCTGAAAACATGGGACGCCCCATATTTTGTGTATTGAGTTTCGTATACGTAAAAGCCGGTACACTTAGACAAAGACTTCTTCTGTGTTTACATAATGAACATGTGTACTGGTCTGAGCGTAACATTTTTTACTTTATATTAAATAAAAAGATGTATCGAGTGCTTTAAAAAATAAACTGATCTGTTATCAGGCAAAAGAAAAACAATCACCATTCATTTATTGACCCACTCAATCCTTGTCTCCATTTTTTTTTATATTCTGGACCATCTTATCTGTCTGAGAAAAACAAGCTCAGTCTGGAGTCTTGTTAACTACAGAGAAGTAAAAGGTTGCGGTTCAGTTTGCTTGGTTTACTGATTTATTGCCTCACTGTGAAGCACTTTCTCTCTGTCAATCAAGATTTCTTTTTTAATCACTGCTTCCCATTGATCTTAACTATGTGCTTTGCTGTGGTTTTAATGACCTTTCTGTCTCTTCTCAGACCAATGAGTAAAACCACTGAAGCTGAAGGTATTTTTCTCACTATTTTTGTTCAAAGTCAGAACGGAAATACATAAGCACAGCCTGACCTGTCACTACCACATCAGAAAAACTAAGCCCTTAATCACTTGAATGATTTTGTCACCCATCTTGGTCTGCTTCATTAATGCTTCATATGCAGTCTTTGTTCCCCCATATTTTTTTTCTGTGTGCACTAAATAGATTAAGGCAGAGGGAAAAGATGGGAGAAAAATAAGAGCAGTTAATCTGACAGACAGACAGGCAGGAAGCCAGAAACCAGAACGTGTTGCGCAGCCTGAGCTCATGTTGCCTCTGACGTGCTGCTGTGGTTAGTCCAAACAGCCCTACGGAGACATGTTGAGTGACAGTCCACAGACAGGCACATACAGTCAATAGAGGCAGCCTGCATGTTGCATCACTATAACAACAACCCACCAATAACCGCAGCTTCTCAGTAGAGCTTGTGAGAAGCACTGGACTCATTTGAGATGAACTAGTAGTAAGAACACTGTAATTACTTTACACTGACCCCCCCCATACACACACAACCTGTCACTATACTTTCAATAGAGGATAGGTAGAAAAATGTGTTGTGATCGAGGTGTTGTTATTCCAGTTTGTATTAGAAATCTTTTTGAAATCTGCTTTGATAAATGTATTTTATACCACTCTGATGAAACATCATTAGTGTGTGATATAGAAATTTATTCTCTACAGGATAGAGGTTAGGTCACTGAGCCAAATGAGTTTCTCCTCTTCATTTTGCTTTAAGACAGTGGCTTAAACTGAGTAAAGAAATTTTTGGACACCAAACCACCTTGATTTCATCCACTACTGAGAAAGATAACAAGTCAGAGATGTGGTTTCTTTCTCTAAAAACAAGAGCACTGAAAACACCTCTCCTTCGATTTTTCTATTACCTTGAGTTTCTAATAGTGATTATCACATTAGAACACACTCACACCTGTTGTCAGTGGTATCAGTACAGCTGTATGTTGGGGGGAGGATGGGGGGTGATTGCTTAGTCGTGTGTTTTACATTCTCACCAAACTGAGTCACCAGACAATGAGCCACGTTGGGTACAGCTTCCACCATGGTCCCCAGAAGGTTGAACAAGGGCAGGAAGCCTTTCACACAAAGCCGGTCACTTAGCTGGAGGAAATGGTATAAATAGTATAAATCAATAACAGCCAAGGATTTGTCTAAAACAAATACACACGGGTGGGTGTGTATTTGTGTAAGACCTTCTCAAAGCTAAGTGTTTTACAGAGCACAAAGATCACAGAGACGCCGTGGGTAGCACTTGGCTCAAAGAGAATAACAGAACAAACACAACATTTAATTACTAGAAATTTTTCTGTTTGTTTGTTTTTTGGTTTTAATAAGGCAGAATTTTAATTTAAGAAATGTATTTTACTAAGTAGTGTTTTGACTGCAAACGTGTTGTTTGCACATCTGCCTGGTGGTTTAACTTTCTACCATTGTGAGAAAGCCTCGGTATTTTGCACCTGCAGCATCAGCTGCAGAAACAAACTGTGTGCTTACTAAACCACCTTAGGAGGATTAAATAAGGATACATATTTTATGGTGTTTGGTAGAGGTTCGCTGCCTGTGTGAGTTTCTCCATATGTCTGTACATGTGGTTTTTCCTCACCTGTTTGTGTATCTCATCCAAAACAAAGCCAAATGCCACTTCACTCCGGAGCTCCAAAAGCAGCTGAACCAGAACTGCCACACACAAACAGCATAGACAAAATAAAGAGCAAATATATCCATGAAATGGACAGCACAATATATATCCCTGATATATATTCCCAATGGTAGATATACTGTACCTAATAGAACACAGTTTTTTCTTCTTATTTCAGTCATTTCTGGGAATCTGCTTTGTACACTGATTCTTGGATTTATTTATTTTTTTCAGTAAATGATGTCAACAAGGGTTTGTTGCTTTTGAATACAATCCAGATATGCTATTAAAATGGGGGAAACATCTTTGGTTTAGTTTTTGCTTTTCTTTGTTTTACTTCTTATTTCAATCTGTGTCTCATTCTTTCTTAAAAAAGGCAGCAATAGAAAAGGAAACATGTTTAAAAAAACTTACATACCTATCATACTATGACGTGGTAACAAACAGAACTCATAATATGATTCTGTCATTTGCACTTACTTGACACACATGCAGTACTTAGTGATAGCTAAACGCTGAATGAATAAGCATCAAAGACAACATCTAGACAAGGTTTTTTTTTTTTAAACTGCATTGAAATGTCTCAAGAGAATACGGGAATAAGCTTTTTATATTGAAATGTCTCAAGAGAATACGGGAACAAGCTTTTTATATGAGTGACCTATATATATATATATATACATATATTCTACACAGAAGAGAGTCTGCCCGAGTGCAGTGGGAGTGGGATGATGCATCACTTCACCTTGCTGAGCTCTTTCCACAGTTGCTGGGTTCTCTGCAGACTGAAGAATCCCTATAGTGGCAAAGCAGTAATGTGAGTAACATGAGGTTAGATTTAAACAGTAGACTTTACAAATGTTAATAAAAAAAATGGTTGCATAGAAGCAACAGAAAAAATGTGGGGAAACTGTAATAAAAATTCAGGAGGTTTGAAAATAGTTGGACTGAAAATGTTTCATGGTCATTCTTTTGTATTTGTGTAAAGTCATATTTAAAAGCAACCTGTGTGTGATTCAGAGATGTAGCTGGATCTTTGTGACTGATTAGTTCTGCTGTTTTATTAAAAATGATTAAATTAAGATTTTAATTGTATTGTTTAATGTATTGTTTCTCCAAAGGTTTTTTCACTATGTGCACTTTTTAAAGAAGTATGTTGCTCATTCAAGTCAAGTACATTTCATTTGAATAGATCAAGTTCACAAAACACTTTTGCCACAATAGACCTTACAACTTGGAGTGTTGTTGGAGTGTAAGTACAGTCAATGTTATAACCATCTAAATGCATCTGATAAAGTGAAAATATTAGAGGTATCCTCAAAATATCTATTAAAAAACAGCCTGGCATATAATCATGGCTGTGGTAATTAATGTGTAATGCCCTGGTGAGGAAGTTCAAGTCTCATTGATTTTAATGATCAAGGAGTTTTGTCAGTTTTGCAATTAGCAGCACAGCATAAAAGCATAAATACAAATTATAATCGGCAGCTTTTGACACAAAGTCTGCCATATTAAAAATTTTCAGAAGGTTGATAACTCAAATATATAATAAATACAATTGAACTCTGGGTTTAATTTTACAGCCAATGATTATGTGCACAAACATGCAATTAAATTTAGAGCTCTAGTCAAATGCCGTTAAACTCTTTAATTAAGGAAAATAATGGTGATTTGTTTATTGCATTCTGTCTATTTCTTCTTATAGCAGTTGACAAGAAAGCAGTATATAGACAAAAGGCACTGAAATTGGTAGTACAAGCTGCTGGTAAAATAATTCCAAGAGTACAGACCAACATCTAAGTTATGTTAAACCAGTGAACAATGTTGTCACATTGTAAATGTCAGTACAATATAGGATTTTGTTCCACTGCTTTGTCCCCAAAATGGCGAGATGTTTTTAATTACTATGTGCCCTTTTACATAGTCTTGTGTTGCACATGATACAATTTCTTACCCAGCAAAGAAGCTGTAAAACACAGCAACACTCTGTGGTCCTGCTGGAGCAGCTCTTTTAAGGCCCCTGGAGAACATTTGAGAATCTCACTGACAGCAGACAACGCAAAGGCCTTTCTCACTGACTTTGAAGCAGAGACAGAGACCAACATAAGACAGTAAATACAAGCAGTGTAATAGGAAATATGAAATACATTCCCTGTAATGCACCACAAGACATACTTGTATAAAACATTTAAATATATGCCTAATATAGATAATACAATGCACCACAAGACATACTTGTATAAAGCATTATATATGCCTAATATAGATAATAATATGATGGAAAAATGTCATACACAGCAAATTTCTGTTGTATCACTTACTGCAATGTCTTCACTGTCCATCATTTCAGTGACACAGGCAACACAGAGCTGTAGCTGCGAACCTTCCGTTGATGTCAGGGACAGACTCCATTTTGTGTTATGTCTAGAGTGTATCTTGTCATAAACAATATCTCCACTCATCATTATAGTCCACCTGACAAAGAAACAATGCACAAAGTACGAATGATGTGAAAAATATTTCGGAAAACTGCAATATTGACAGGTGAGCTAAGCACTTATCTAAAGTTACTGTACAATACAGCTATGTAACTGTTTAGCATCATGACGCTACTGTAGCTAAGCTAATTAGCACCTTACCAGTCCTCAGAAACAAGCTTGGCTTCTAACTTTTCTTTTACAGCTTGTATCTTGTTATAGACAATAACTTGTCATAAACAATGAATCTACTCATCATTTTAGTCCATCCAACTGTCAAAGCCGAAACCACAGACAGCATGAACAATTAAAGTTTAGGGAAACTCCTTACCAAACTCCTTACCAAAACTAGTGTTCAGCTCTGTAGCTATTGAGCATTATGCTTACTGCTAGGCTAATTAGCAACTTACCCATCCTCAAAAACAAGGTCAAAGTTGGCTCCTAAGAGTTCTTTTACAATTTTCCAATAAAATAACATGCTATTAAGCCCATGTAAAACAAAATATGTTATTTTAGCTAGTGTATTAAATTAGACAATAAGTAATTTAGTTTACCAAGTTCAACAGTAGAAAAGTCCTACTTTATAAGCTCTGCCCTGTTCCCATTTCATATTATTTTTTTTATTTTTACCCATTTATTATTTACTTACATATTCTCAGAAAATGTTCTTTAATATAAAAAATATTCTGGGTATTTTTTTAATTGCTTTTATTGTATTAATTTTTCTCTAAACGTCTAAACGTTCTGTAAAATAGTTATTACTGCATATAAATTATGTAGCAGCATTAGTTTATGCTCTAATGAGTGCTACTGCTGAATAATAAGCCATGCTGGGATACACAAGTTTGTTTTAGTGCACCGTTCAGTTGTAAAAACCACAATTTAGTTGTCACCATGACAACAAAAGCCTCTTGGCAACAGAAACTATATCCGATGATATGTGTGGGGGCGAGGATCGGCCACCATCAACACGTCAATGTATAATCACTCAGGAGTTCTTCTTAAACACACTTCACTGCATGACATAAATACAGCTAGCTGAGCTCTATCTCGTTAGGTGTCCGTGTGTTCCTGGGTTCATGCACAAGAGTGTATACATGCATTTAGACCGTTTGTAACACCTGCATCCTTGGGCAGATGGGCTGAGCTACTACCACCATTAATTAAAGAAAAAGTGCATGTGTCTGGACTGTACGTGCAGGAAGTGCTTGAAGCCTCTGGTTTGCTGACACAGCTGACTAACCTTACTTAAGTGATATGCTTTTTGACACACTGTCTAATCAGGTCTTTGTTTTGTTTTTGTTTTTTTCATTACATACTGCTCTTTTGTTAACGTTTACCTGGAAGGTTTTCCTACCTTGCTGCAGCACAGCATAAATCGCGACTGCAACATTTAGATCTTTTTCACACCACGTACGTTCTTGAAGTATGAACTTCAGTTTACGTAAACTATAAGATGAGATTTTATGAAGAAAGAGGGCGGGGTCACGCTGTCGCCCGCGCATACGTACGTACGTACGTGCGTGCGTAAACATGAACGAGCAGCTGCAGCTCTGGTGCTGCGTTCAGGTGCTTTGAGCCTCAGAGGTGGAAGGACAATGGATTACAGCAGAAAAACAAACAATTATTTATGACAGAAAAACCTGTGGAAGTTTCTATGAAGCTTCCAAAAGAGGACTGACCAAAGTGAAGCAGAAAGGTAAGCATTTAAAACTCTTTAACGGCGCTTTTAGTTAAAAGTGCGGATGTTTAAAAGTTTAAATTGTAGTTAAAAAGTTGTATTTAAAAACTAACGACAACTGTAAAGGTTCAAACTAGTATATAGTAAATAGTTATGTTACTGATATCGGTATTTAACTAATACATAAAGTTAAAAAGTTGTATTTAAAAACTAACGACAACTGTAAAGGTTCAAACTAGTATATAGTAAATAGTTATGTTACTGATATCGGTATTTAACTAATACATAATACATATAATGCAGTCTAACATAACATGATCATTTAAAAAAAATTCTCATAAACCAAAAGTCAACGAGGAATTTTTCTAGGGAACACAAATAAAAAAAAAATTCTAAGTGGCATGTGAGTTGATTCGACGATTAGAGATGGCTTATCATTCATTTGTTAATTAACCATTAATAAATAAATGGGGAGCACTTGAGGAACAGTGTAAAAAAATTGAAAACAAAAAAAAAAAACAACATATAATCAAACAAAGAATCATATTTACAATACTAAGTAATTTACAAAAAGTCAAACCTTGTAAATGAACCAGAATGGAAAAGAAGACTATATAACCTGAAGTAGACACATAAAGACTTAAGATACTCATAAGAAGTGTAAGGTCATGGCTTGTTCTGTGACCTCAGTTCCTGGAAAAGAAAGTCACAGGTGTTAGTCTTTATTGTGGCTGCAGAGAAGTGGCTCAAGACCTTTAGGGTCTGTAAACCCCCCCCCCAAAAAAAAAAATACTTCTGTAAAAGTAATCTCATGTCACATTTGTGGTAAAGTGTTACATCATTTCTCCTTAGAAAAAAAAATGATTCCAGCCTTCATCTAATCTCTTTCTTCTATTTTTTATTATGGAGCAAACACTATTTCGACAGTGGTGATATTTTTTCATTAAAGACACGTTGTTCTAATTTTCCACATTTGTTATTTTTGGTTTATTGGATCTAATCATTATATGTAAATTGAAAGAAATACTGGGATCTAATCATTATATGTAAATTGAAAGTAAATTTATTTACCAGTTTAAATCAATTTTTTTTAGTACTAGCAGCTTTAGTAATACGCTGTGGCACAGGTCAGCCCCGCCTTGGTGATATAACTGTTATTACCTAAACTCCCATGCTGGCACACTTTGTATACATACAGGTTAAGCCTTCCCTCCAGGTATTTTGCCTTGTCTTATCCCCGTGTCCCATCAAAAAAGCAAATGCTGAAGTTGAAGTCCTTGCTCAACTTTGAGCTCATCAGCAGTTTCCACAACTGATGTCAGACATAATCAACAAACAGCACAGAGGCCTACCAATAACAAGGGTTGGTATTACCCCCGTATCCCTGCATCCCCACATTCAGACACAGTGAGATGTGCCGTCATTGTGGCCAGAACCACTGTGCCAGAAGGACGGTGCACTGCTCAGCTGCACACCAGGACTTCATAATACAGAGGTGTCAAGACTTTTTCACGGCAGCATATCATGTAAAAATAGCTCGCCTTACTAACTGCCTCTAAGTCAGGAAGTAAACTCAGAGAAAGTGAAAATTAATAATCAAATACAAAAACTTTTTTTTTAATTGTGTTCCATCATGAGTTCACATTCAATGTGAATTAACCAATATTCCAAGTGCTTTCTGCAAAGATGAACTAAAAATATTGTTACAAAACCTGATAGAATTCCCCTGGAAAGTTTTCCCACAGAAAGGTGATGAAACAGTGAGTGAGAGAGAGATGACAGTGGTGATAGAGTTTGAGTATCAAATTTTGCCTACAAAGATGCTGCTCAGATATGAATGTTCTGAGCGTCCAAACTGTCAGGCTGTGAAAAGAGAGCGCAGCGGAGATGATGCCAATGGAGAGACAGAGACAAATGAAAGAGAAGAGTTGCTGACAAAAAAAAAAGAAAACTGGCTGAGTAACTGCAGTTTTTGAATAGAGACACTGTCATTTCCAGGCAGAAAAGCCACTGATTGTAATGGTGTTAAAACGACCTAATGGTAAATGTGACGATGCCTTTTTGACTTCTGCCATTTATATACAGTACAGAGATTCTCACTGAAGATAAATGAGTCTGAATGTGATCCCCTTTTCTTAGATTGATTTTCTCTCTTTTTATTCAATCTGAATGACAATGGCATCACATTGTTGCAGATAGCAGAAGAATAAATAGAGCAGAATGGTTAGAGGGCGCAGTATAATTGCTACATGGCATTTTCATCTGCTTTTTATGTGAATTGTACCTTTTATCCTCTCACCAGCGACACTCTGCTCAGCCTTTACTAAGTTGAATTATTTTCACTCTTGGTTTTCTTTTATCCTCTTTCCCCCCATTATTCTACTTTCTTGTTTCCAGTGTTCACTTCTATCTTTCAGTTTTTCCCAATACTTCCTCTTGCCTTAGACCCTGTCTGCGTCCTTTAATTTCTCCACCTATAAATGATCAAACCTGAAACCCCTCTCCTCTGTCTTTTAGCCACTGCCTTTTCCCTCCTGTGCTGTACTTTCCTCCTCTCTCCTCTCCTCTGTCATGTCTGTATCCATGAAGAACACGCCACAGCGCCGCCGCTCTCTCGGTCCAGTCTCACCCAAGCGCATCTACAGAAACCTCTCCATCAAACTGAGGGGGGGAGAGCCCTGCGTTTCCGAGGACGCGGACACACCCAGGCACCTCACCAAGATTGCAGATGCCGTAAGATATTTGAGTCATTTTAAAGAAGTTGAGTTTCATGAAATGTCCCGGCCTCTCGCTTGTTTCTCATCATCGTGAGATGTTCCTTTGACACCAGACCGCTGCTGCTGCTGATTCATGACGAGACCTGTATTACACTACCAGACACTCCCTCAACCTTTGCCAGTCATCAGCGTGTCTTCTCCCTCTAATTGAGTGAACTTTTTTTTTCTCTGTGATCCCTCTACTTCTGCTGTCCTCCCTCCCTCCCTCGCTTGCTTGCTCGCCCACACACTTGCGGACCTTCTTGCTCACCATTAGTACAAGACCCTGTGGGAAGCGGTGGAAAATGAGGACACGTTGGCCGTACAAAGCCTGCTGTCCAGAGACCACACCGTCTGTGCTGGTGGAGGCGGAGGAGTAGGAAGCATGTGGGAGAGAGGAGAGAAGAAGGAAAAGAACTGGGAGAGAGACAGGGAGAAGGGAGTAAACAGGGTGAGTGATCAGGGCCTGGTGCCACTGGATGTAGCGGCTCTTACCCACAACTCCCCCCTCCTGCACGTGTTGACAAAGGCAGGAGCCAGGCACAACCCTGTTTGTAAGTCCTTTTTTTAAACATACCTGAAATGAGCAAAAAATCCATAGCGAGTGTCTGCAGAGGCAGAGATAAACATGAATCATATTCAGTTTCTATCCTTCCTTCCCTCTCTCTCTCTCTCTCTCTCGCTCTCTCTCCCTTCTTTCAGTGTGCCGACCGTCTGAATGGTCTCTCAAGCTGGATGCTCTGGTGGCACTGGCAAGCAAACGGCTGAAAGGGATTGAAGAAAAGAAGGAGTTGGTGAAGAAAACAGGGGCCGGGCCTCAGGTGCAGTCTGACATCCAGAGACACCTTCGCCTGTGGAGCCTCAGGCTGCAGCTGTACTGCCGCATGAGGGAGAATTTCCTGAACACAGGTCAGTGATCTTGGGTCAGCTTGTGGCAGCGCTTGAATCACGGCCAAGCAGAGTGGATCGAATTTGTTTGGGGTTTTTTTTTTTCTGTCCATCTTTTCTTTAGCCTCTTCAGTCACATAAACAACTTCCTTTTTTCTTTTTTTTTTTAACATCCCTTTTCTCTGCCCAGCCCTCCATCATCACTGACAAAGTCCACAGCCATCAGGTATTCAGCCCCACTCCTTCCTTAAGTCCTTAGCATTTCCCATCTGGACTCCCGTAACCCAGGAGTGGCCTCTTGAAAGTCTTCCTCTACCCTCTTTCACCTCATTGAAAATTCAACATACAGCCTTGCATCCACTTTTTTTAAACTCTCCCATGCCCTTCACTCCCTACAACAGCTGCCAGCAGCTGCCTGCTTCAATTTCAAAACTTAGTGTCGGTGAACTTCCATGTGTGCAGAGAAATCCAGACCTTTAATGGCATCTAATAAGAGGGTGTCGGTGCAGACTTTATTCAGCTACAGGAACCTCTTCAAACCCCGGTGTATCTGCATCAAAGAGGTCTTTTACTCCATCCTTCACTGTAAAATCAAACCTGCTGCTGCTTCAAGTATAAAACCTAAGGATGTCTGATATGAACAGTTTGCCAATATCACATATGCCGATACTGTCCAATTTCCGATTCCGATATCAACCGATACTGATCCAGTTTTCCTCCAAAACTATTTTTAGGTCACATCACAACGTCTTCTGTCGTGGAATTAACACTAGAGACTTCCACGAATTAACACTGTACAGAATAAAATTTAGAATAAAAGTGATTCCAGCATATTTGGCAAAACCCAGGCGTTGCAGGAAAAAGTGATAACAATTCGTACTTATATTACATAATTATGGTAATATCAGGCCAATCCTATTGGTTGGACGATTTTATCAGACATCCCTAATAAAACCTCAGTGTAAAAACGGTCAATAAAGTTGTTGAAACTGTAATGTCTGTAACGTCCTAATCCAAAATAATCCCCTCCCTCACTCTGACTCTGATTTTGTTTTAATGTCTCCTGTAAACAGAACTCCCTGGTCCTCCCAGCCACGTGTCTGTCGTGGTGACCAGTGCGTCCTCTCTGTTTGTGACAATCAAAGAGCCAGAGGGGGGGACCACGGGGCTAATCACCCGCTACAGAGGTGAGTGACACCTGGGTGATGGGTAATGGCATGAAGAGCCTCACACTGAGAGACACAGGTTTCACGGTGTTTAAGCCCAGAGTTGATTAAGCTCAGGTACAGTGAGTTCCCAGCTCTCGGGAAAGCAAACAAAGAGCGAACCCTTGGATGCCTGGTTTCTCCTGAGAGCTGTTTGAGAGGAGAATATTCTGTCAGTGACACTGTTTTTGTTTACAGTGGAGTGGAGCTCCTCATCCAGCTTCAAACGTGTCGTCGGATCGGCACAAGTTACCGAAACCAAGAATCCCTCCTACAGTATCAAGGGACTCGTAGCGGTAAGATGCACACACACACACACACACACACACACACACACACACGCAGCCAGTGGTTTACAAAGCTGTCCCTGTTAGCACTGACGTAGAGCCTAAACCAGTGTTCGTAGAACCTGTCAGGTTTCACAGTTTCCAAAAACTGTTTGGAAACTGTTTCAATTATTTTACTTTACAGTATGTTTTCTGGCTGTAATGAAACTGTCCAACCTTAATAGGCTGAGTTTATATTTCAAAAAAATATCTTCAGAACTGAAAGTTAAAAAAAAAATTTTAAAAAAGTTTAAAAAAATTATTCACAAATCACTTCATACAGACTGCACATAAAAAGCTCTTTTTAGCTTAGCTGATTGAAGTGTAAAATAAATAAAAATATAATCTTATTTAGAGGAAATTATTTTTAAATGATTGTGGTAAAAAAAACATTTTGACCTCATGAATGTTTTCTGTTGGGAGGATTTATGGCCTGAACACAAACACTTTGTCGGAGATGAAAAGAAAAGTGAACGAAGATCTTTAGTACATTATTTAAAGATTATTATTTTTTCATTCACTAGGTGTAGGTGCCAAAAACATGTCCTGGAGAGGTTACAAAAACAAGTATGAAATAAAACACACATACATTTGAATCCTTCAGATATATGTCTCTGTATGCAAACACACAATAGCTCTTAACAGAGACTCCAGTCATCATCTGCTGGGCGGACCCTCCCGGGGGAGGACAGTTGTCTCACCCAACTGCTTTGCTTAAACAGATGAATTAATAATGAGAGCAGCACTACCGTCCGTGCAGTATTTCTCCGTCCCTCCACAGCCGACGACTGCTCAGGCTAATGCACGGTAATAATTTGTCGGTCTGCTGCTTCTCTCCATGCAGGGAGTGCATTACTTTGTGAGAGTGAGTGCCTACAATGTGAAAGGATGGGGCCCGCCTCAGTGCTCTACCCCAGTCAGTGCTGCCCCCTCCAGTGAGTATTGTCTACTGCAAGCAAACCATCGTTTGTCTTAGCGTGTTTTCTTTTTCCCTTTTCTTACTGTGATTCATTGAGTTTCTGTGTTGACGTGATTTGAAAAAACACAGAATGCATGCGTGTCTTGAAAAGTCTGGACAATTTAGGACATCACCAACAGTCAGTGAGCTTTTATATTTATGTCACCTTGAGTTTAAATAAATCATTCTTGCATACCCGACTGTGTTTTCACGCCGCTTAACTCAGGGTTGCTTTTTTCTATTTTTACACCGGAAATGAAGCGAAAGACACCTCACACTACATCTGAAATGAAGTTTTTCTATTTTTACACCGGAAATGAAGTGAAAGACACCTCACACTACATCTGAAAGTAAAGGTAGAGAAAAAGATTCAAATGTATGCAAAATAGAATTAAATCTCTGCAGTGTTTGTTATGCTGCTCCATCGCTCGGTATGACCTGATATAGCGGGTCAATTCAAGAGTGAGGCGGCTCAGCAGCTTGGAATTAATCAGCAGTGAGGCGTTCAGGGTGACAGGTTTCCAATCATTTGTTTCCTTATTGCAGAGACAGGAAACAGCAGTACTCATGTCAGCCCTGCAAATGAGTTGTTAATGCGCCTGCTGATTCAGGCGACTAATTGCATGAAAACACCAGTGGTCATTTGTTTACCCACTTACTTCCTGCTCAGGTTGGAGGGAGTGCAGTGGTGTGAAGTCGCAGTTCAGAAACCACCAGGGTCTGGTGAGGAAGCTGCTGGAAGACGCCCGGGAGTCGCACTACAGAGGATACTCTATAGGTACTGCACGTGCATCACAACCATGAGACCAGTGTATTTTATCTCCACCATCATATGTTTTCATCTTATTAACTATTTTTACCAACTTCTGTTTATTCTAAAAGTTCTAAGATGCACTTTAAAAAATCAGTACTGATGGGAAATAACCAAACGTTTTCTTTACATCTCATACTTCTGTTTATTCTAAAAGTTCTAAGACGCACTTTAAAAAATCAGTACTGATTACGGAAATAACCAAATGTTTTCTCTACGTCTCCTCCATTTAAGGCAAAACACTTTGACAAGAAGTGTGTTTCCATGAGAGAATTTCTACATTAGAAATCCCAGAGGCCCAGCTCACAACCTGGGTCTTTGGTTTGGTCCAAGGACTAAACCAAAGTTTACTTTCAAATGTTTTTTGACAGACTCAAAACCTGTTGAAAAACTTCATTTATTGGATCAGGTTTCCATTTATGTTTAGTTCAAGTTTGCTTGTTTGATGTAAACACACTTTATTTTTCAGGGTTGAAAACTTATCATTAATTAAATTTTAAAAATATATATATAAATATATGATCAAAACTGCATTAAAGATGCTTTGAATTTGGCATGATAACAGAGTTAACAATGTTTCTACTCTCATTTTATCCTTGATTAAATAAAGCCATTTTAACATATTTTCAAATGCACGTCCCTAAATATTTACACTTATCCAGCACACGGCTGAGTGTTTACCGCAGGTGTCCATCCCTGCTCTGGGATCTCGTGCAGGCACGCTGAATGTGCTTTTGGCAGCCACTGTAACTCTGAGTCTCCCGTCTCCTTCAGCTGTGCTCTCCTCTCCACAGAGAGCCTGAAGCCCCAAAGTCCCAGCAAGCGCCTCTCTGTGTCTCGCGGCATCAAACAACTGTTCCAGTCGGCCACCAAGTTTGTTCGCCTCCTACAGAGGTACTGGCGCTCCATCTGTCTCACCTGTCCCACGGTGCCTGCGGGCTATAGGAGCTGACAGATTAAATGTGCTGCATTTACAGCAGTGTTGGCCACAAAGAAGAAAGTGGAGTTATGAAAAGACGAGGACACACATATATTTTTTCACCCTCCTAAGAAATCTGAGCTCTTTTTAAAAGTATTTGCTGAGTTTTTTGAGTTTATTCATTGGTGAATAACATTATTCTACTTTGCATACAGAATTTATTTTTTCACCATATACTGTACCATATAGGTAGGTGACCTACATATCAGTGTGTCAGACTCTCCGTGGAGATTGTGCTGCACCTGAAACTGGGAATCATATGAGTGTGAAAGAGTCTGTTAGGAACACGGAATATGGGAATATATTTTTTCACAAAACACCCGTTGAGTACATTCTTGATCATTTTGTCTTCTAACACATCAGTAAACAGAAACAAACCTAGGTGTTATAGGTGTTTCACCACACGTCAAACAGACAGCTCCAGTGAGTGAATGAAGATAAAAGGTCTTTCCTGGAAGGTCAAAGGTCAAGAACCTTGAGTTTGGGTTTGCAGCTAGACAGAGACATTGTGGTCTACATTTTAACCTTCCTTTACCAGATTCATAAAATCCTTATGCAAATTATAGAAATATAATTGTATATATTTTGTATTTTATTTTTGTATTTGTGTTCATTTTAACATTTTGTCATTTTGTCTCGAAAAGTGAATTTACTCTGATCTCCTTAGGGGCGTGTACCTGGCAACAGTATTCTACCACAAGGAAAACATTCTGGTGACAGCTGAAGACCAAATCCCCCTAGTGGAGATTCAGTGCTGTTCCACCTCCATCATCCATGACTTCCTCTGGTTTGCTAAGGTGAAACTACGTTGTTCATGCGTTTGGATGTAACAGTTCAGTGACTGAACAGTGATTCAGATTTTTTTTACCAGAAGTTCATTTCCTTTCCTTTTATTTTTCTAGCTGTCGTACGCTTGGCAACAAGTGCGCTGGCTGCAGCAGGCCCTGTTCTCTGCACACTCATCTTCCTCTTCCCTCCTTCAGAACCGGCACAACATCCTGCGAGCGGTTTTCCTGCTGCAGGTAGGAAGCTAAGCTGCTTACTGTGCACGATAAGAAGCTCCAGAATGAGTTAATTACTATGTTAATTGCCTCTTTACATGTCTCCCTCCTGCCGCTCGTCCTATTTCAGATGCCATTTATTATCTCTAACAGCAAACCTGTTCCTCATCGCCGGGCGTCAAATGCATTATTCCACATTATTCAGTGCCGTCTTTCTGCTTTATCTCACCCAGAGTTCCCTGGGAACCGTGGACCTGGGCCAGGTGTACTACGAACCTCTGAAAGACCGGCAGGGAAACGTGCTCCTGGTGACATTAAAGGAGTTTCCAAATCCTCACAGGTGAGAGAGAGTCGGCTGTTACTGGGACATTCAGACCAGTGGTTCTCAAACTGTGGTACCACGCGTACCACTGGCGCCCTCTAGTGGTACGTGGGGAAAATTAATTTACATTTTCAATTGAATAAATCTGAAACATACCACGCACAATTAATACAACATTTAAACATCAACATCTTTATAAACATCTCTCCTGTGGTGGAAGCTAATATTGAAGGGCTACGCTGGTATATGCTAATGCTAGTCATCATGGTGGTACTCAGAGAGATCCATGTTTTCTCAGGTGGTACAGAGTAGAAAAAGTTTGAGAACCACTGGTTTAGACATTTCCAGCAGAGTGGTCACAGTTTTCTCAGCTTCCAGTTCCTCTGAGGGGAAATAGAAGTTGTTTTTTGTGTTTTTTTAGACATATTGCATCTATTGCACGTCTTTTTTTTTTTTCTTAAATCAACTAATCCGCTGCCCTCCCAGTCTTCCTGACCCTCCGCTCCACTGGATGCCCCTGGCTCGCCTGGAGAAGAACCGTAACAGAACGCCTCTGCTCCCCGAGCCCACGGCCATGGACATGCTGTTTGATCAGCTCAAGGTGAACTTTGGTTTGTGTTTGTCCGTGCATAAAAAGGGAAAGCACGCGTTCACTGCTGTGTTTATGCTGAACAGCAGTTGCTAAATTTGGACTAAGTGCTTTCACCTTCACTGCCACATCTCCGAGACGTCGCTTTCACTGCTGTGCCAGAATTTGCCTGAACCTGAACGCTGTCTGTTAAAACTGTCGATGCTCCACCCCACC